CCCTGATCTGACGGGTTTAGCCGGTCACTCGGAGAGTAGACAGCTTTGACAGTGCACAGGAGTGTGATATCTCTGGGCTGAGGTGCCCCTTCCCAGGGACCAGGAGAACACATGCTGGCTGAGAAGGTGGCTAGAACCTGCTCCAGGTGGTCTTCTGGCTCCCTCGACCCCCCTCCCGCTATCCTAAGGGGCAGTGATGGGGGAACGGTGAAGTGTAGCGGCATGCCTTGGTTTGAGGTAATCTTTCCAAGCTTTCCAGTACTATTGGGTGTAATGGAGATGGTGTAAAGCCGCTCCCGCTAGCCAGGTGCGAGAGCAGGCCCCTCTGGGGCTGGGCGCTGGCAGCAGTGGCCCCTCAGTGAGGTCTTGCCACAGATCCATCGGGGCCACGTTTCCCCCTGTCCCCTTCATGGTCCGGCCTGCAGCCCCTGCGGCCTGTCAGGGTCTGGTGTGGGCTTTGTTTCTGTTGTCTTGGGGGAAAGGAATGGGCTTGACATCTTGCTTTAGAACTTCATCATTTGGGGCACCCACATTAGCAGGTGCTCCCCAAACCATTTTGGGGGGGGTGTTTGAAATAAGTGTGGGATTTTTTTTTTCCTATTAAAAAATTTTTAATTCTCCCTCCCCACCCTCTCATTCCGTAGGCATCATGGAAGCATGACCTTTTAGCCTCAAAGGTCGGGCTTGAAGAGGGTGAGTCGTGCTCTAAGACAGAAGGTGCTTCTGTCTTCTATGGCTAGTTGGGGTGCGACCACTGTGGCAGGCTGTCTTGTCATTCATGGGGGAGAAACAGGCATGTCTTCTAGTTGGAGTTCGGGGTGGCAGGAAGCCCTCTCCCCCTCACCCCTCCTTCCTGTTGGCTCACTGGGGACCACTGATGCTGGTTTGGGATAGCGCCGGTCTTGGCCGCCCTTCTTATTATGGACACAAATCTGGACCCAGTGAGCCTGCAGATCTTAGAATCGCATGGCCACTGGTGTCTGGGCAGAATGTGGACGTGGCCACTTTAAAGGTCTGGGAGCCCTGCCTCTGAGAGTGGGCTGGCTGTGGGAAGGGTGATGAGGGCTGGTGTACCAGGAGGGTGACTGACACTGCCCCTAGAAGCTAAAAGCATCCTTTCCCCCAGCAACAACAAAGCATCGCGCAGTGCCAAGGCTACCTCATACCAAGCATCAAGGGGCCAGGCCTGCCATTTCCTCTCCTAGGAGCTGAAAGGGCCACCCCCACCTTCCACCCACAAGCTAGGGGTGTGGATGATGTCGGAGCGAGATCGGTGTGGGATGCTTGGGTTTAGGCAGACTGCCGCTAACCTCTTGGGGAAGAACGATTCTGTCAGAAGTCCGACTTTGCGTGCCTGAGTTCCTTCTCGAGAGCACATGGCATCCCTTCCCAGGCCCGTTGGCTGCTGGTGGGGGAGCACACACGTGTTAGGGTTTCGTGGGGAAAGGGCAAAACCTGCATGTGCTGTATGAACACATGAAACCCAGCTGATGTCAAGTGGTGACCCGCGTGTGTAGAACGCCTTGCCCCGTCGAGCCTTCAGGAACAGATGGCACACCTTCTTGGGAGAGGCCTATGGGTGGACTGTGCACCCGCAGAACCCCTATCAACACAAGTAGGGGCCCGCTAAGGAAACCATGTACAGGAGGCAGTGCCCGTGACTCCAGCCGAGGGGAGGGGAGAGGCCACCCCAGGAAACCTTTCTCCCCACCCCTGGCGGCTTCTCAGCCCTGGCATCCTAAACTTCACCCCAAACCGTGATACAGCTGCCCATGGAGTCGTGGGGTTGCCAACGGCATGCCAGTCTTGCTCATCTGCGTCCCACCTGGCCCTTTGGCCACCTATCGTGTGCCATGTCTGTACACGTGCTGTCGGAGCCCCCGGGGGCCCCTCAGTGGGCCCTGGGCTGCGGTTTAGGAGGGCTGCGCTACAGCATTTCCGTGTCTGGCATGCTCTTGATGTAGGTCAGAAGCTCCCAGAAATACCCAGGCTTCTGCCACCTTTTGATCTGAAATCCAGGATAGGAAAATGAGTGGTTGAAATGCCGGTGGGAAAGATTAAGTTGGGGCTTGATCCCAGCATGCTTGCCACTGATTTTCCTGGGCAACAAGATGCAAGGAGAATGAGAAAGGGATTGGTCCTTCCTGAGACTGAGCCAGGGGACGAGACCAAACAAAACGGACTCTGGGCCGCTCCTCCAAGGGAAAGAGCAGAGCAGGGCTAACGTCCTAGGGACCCACCCCGCAGGCCTGCGTGTGGTGAAGCAGACGGACTCGGCACACTGCTCCCAGGGTGTGCGTCTGGGTGCCAGCTGCAAGCCAAGAGGGACTGGGCGTCAAGCTGAGGCTCTCAAGCCCCAGGCCGCTCTTTCGGAACATACATGCAACTGACGTACAATTGAAACATTTTAAAGGGTACTGTTCAGATAATGGCGATTTCATTTGTTTGTAAAAATTACCTGTATGGCTCTCGGGTAATTTTAAAATTGTTGTGAGGGACAGGACTGGCTCTTCTGTCTCAAAAGTTTGCTGACCCTGCTCTAGACCTTGTGGGAGACACAGAGACACGCGAAAGATGGTCCTTGGCCTCTGCTTAGTCTCTAGGAGCTACAAATACCTAGAGCCCAAGGGAGGGGGTGGTAAAACCTAGGAAAGCACAAGGTATGGAGGAAACGCTGGGACCTCGCCCCCAGCGGTCCAGAGGCTTTGTGGAGGAGATAAAGGCACTAGGCTAGCCCTGAGAGACGGGCTGAGTTCCACTCCTCCGTGGAGTTTAGCTGTGGGTCCGTGCGCCGGCCCTGCACGGGAGAAGGCCTGGAACATGGGTGGGAGTGGGCAGCGGCATCGAGCTGGTCCAGGACATAGAGACCTGGACGAGCAAATGCAAAGTGAAGGAAGTCAGGGGCAGAGCCATGGGGCCTGTTGACCTTGGACCCCCATTTTGGGAGGAAAGTCTTGGAGGCGTGTTGAAGGTAGAAATACCAAGATGTCTACAAGTAATGTGCTGTAGGTTGATATTTATTGATTTAGAAAGAACTTTGCAGAACACTACATGCAGTTACGACCCACGTGGTTTACCTTAAAACCCGGATGTGCAGAAGCTAGGACATATAAGGGGCTCTCTTAGATGTGAATGTATGATCGTATTAACTATGATACACACCTGCCCCTCACCTATCGACTGTTTATCTCAGTTTTCATTTACAGGGGTCAAAAACCGACTCTCCTGCTACTGTGTGCTCCAACAGGGTACATCGGGCAGTAACAAAAACAGGGGCGAGGGGAGAGCAAACCTGGCTGCGATGGTTAAGGCTCTGGTCAGCGTGGCTGGGCCACGATTCTCAGCAGTTATGTGAGATAAAACCTGGCAAATTGTATAATGATGTAACCTGTATCTTGTGGTTTGATGTAGTCATCCTCCATTTTCGCACAAAACCAATGTTCATGTAACAACCTGGTCTTTGGAGTCAACCAAACCCTTGTGGATCCATGAGGCGTGGTTGTGTACACTTACGTACACGATGCTGTGTATATATGTAGCAAGAAGGGCTTCAAAAACTCCTTGGAAAACTGGGATGGGAAGAAGATGACATTTCCCATGCACTTTGTGCAGCCCCCTAAGAGATATCACTTTATCTTTGGTTATCTCCAGTTGTTGAGATTTCAATTTTTGCTTTTTTAATTTTGTCATCAGGGGGCTTCCAAAAGTTCATAGAGAAGTGGAATCAAAAGATAATGGCATTTTCTCACAAATGTTTTTGAAGCCTCTTGTATTTTCTGACCTGTCTGTAGTTCACACTGCTTTTGCCATTTGAAGATCTTTTAAGATGGCGTTTCACATGAGCGTGTAGCGTGCGATGGCTGAGGGCAATGGCCTAGAGATGTGTTACTAATCTGATAACACGGAGAGTGAAAGTGAGGTGACATTTATGATTTGGGGACAGAGGTGGAGCAGAAGCCCTTCAGGTATCCCAATAATATGGGAATGGTTAAGTAAACGATGATACCGATGTGGCGGACTGAATATCACATAGGTGTTAAAAGTGACAAGTATTAGATTGCTGATACTTGGAAATAGATATGAGAGATGGGCAGAACACAATCTAATACATTTCGTCTTAATTACAACGATACTCCAAGAAACAGAAACTCACCACCATGAGTGGATTCCGAATCAGTGGCTGCAGGTCAGGGTAGAATTGCCCCTATGGTGTCCAAGACTCATAACTATTTACAGGAATGGAAAGCCTGGTCTTGTGCCTGTGGAGCTGCTAGTGGTTTTGAACTGCTGACCTGTGGTTGGTTACCAGCCCAATTTGTAACCACTGTGCTACCGGGGCACCCCTGCCAACTTTTACCTTCTCCCAGAAAGCTCTCGCCACAGGAGACATAACATGAGTGGATTTAAGAAAGTTGTCTTTCTGTCGCGTTTGGATAGAAGTCAGAGGCAAGGAAAGAACCCAGAGACTTGGGTGTTTTTCTCAACGCGATACCTCAGTCCCAGGTATTTGAGAGTAGTCGTATTGGTCTCTTAGTCTCAGCCACCCAGGTTTCTGGAAGTAATTGTGAGCACCGTCCCGTGACCTAGGTTGAATTTGTGTAGCACAGAGAAGGCCTGCAATGGCTGCTGGGAAGGAAGATGGTCAGGAGATAAGGACTTGGTTCCATCTGCGCTCCTCTCCAGTGACAGGAAACAGGCCTGCGCACAGGAAGCTCAGCACGGAGGCCTGGGAGCTCCCGGCCTCTTAGGAGCAGGGAAAAATGCGAGGACGTGAATAAAGCCAAAGCCAAGTCCAACGTGGAATGTGTCAGTGGCTCCCAGTGATAGGACCTAGCTGGCTAATTCTCACGTTTTTTGTGAGCCTCTCTGGAGCCTCTTCGCAGGACGGTGGCTCTGTGGGAGGATATGACGGTTAGGCAAGGCCCTTGGTGAACGGAGATGGTTGCTCATCTCCTTCCTCCACGCTTACATGAGGGTGTGCGGGCTGTGTTCTCTTCCAGCCAGCGTCCCGTGTTCCGTGGCCCCAGAAAAGTCAGTGTGTAGGCCTCAGCCACCCCAGGTCCGACGCACATTCTCTCTGGACACCATCCTCAGCTCCTACCTTCTGGGCCAGTGGCCACGCGATGCTGACGGGGCCTTCACCTGCTGTACCAATGACAAGGCCACCCAGGTAACAAAGCTCTCTGCTGTTGGGATAAGGGATAAGGACGGGCGGGAGGTCCAGCTGAGGAGGCCTGTGGTCTGCTTGCCAGCCCCGAGAGTACCACCACCCACATGTGCCAGCTCGTTTTCCCAGGTCAACCTACACAAAAAGGAGCTCGAACCCCGCCTGACTGGTGGGGGAAAGACATCAGCTTAGGTGTGTGTTTGTGTTTCATCTGGTTTTGAGTGTTCATGTGTGGGTAATTGAAGATGGACGGGAATTTATTCTCGGTTTGAAAAAAATGCGATTTGCCAGGATCAAATTAAACTGGGGCCAGCATTCCATTGAGTTTGCGTTTCCTGGACCACTGGGAGTGGGCCAGCGCAGCCACGCTGGATGGAGTCCCATAGGAGCCAAAGGCGTGGCAGGCAATGAGTAACATGGTGACTGCCAGCGTGCAGATGCTTCCGTGGGGCTTCAGCTGACCCAGTCAGGTCCTGGAGAGCCCAGGGCTCTCTAGTATTTTCCTTCTAGTCCAGCAGTTCTCAACCCATGGGTCGTGACCCCCTTGGGGGTGGAACGACCCTTTCACAGGGGTCACCCGATTCATAACAGTAGCACAATTACAGTTATGAAATCGCAACAAAAGTAATTTTCTGGTTGGGGGGTCACCACAGCACGAGGAACTGCATGAAAGGGTCGCGGCATGAGGAAGGTTGAGAACCTTTGTTCTCGTCCGTCTTCTCAGGAAGAATCTTGGATCTAGAAGGACGCCTCACACATCGCACCCACCTGGGTGTCAGTTTTTTGGGTAAGAATATGTAAGATGAGCAAGAAACCTTCTCATCCACCCACGAACTTATACAAAGATATCTCCTAATCTGACCCGGGGCATCAACCTTCTCAGCAGTGACTTAGGAGCCCACGCGTCTCTCTTGCCAGTCTGAACCCCTTTCTGTTAGAACAAAGAACAAAGGCCAAAGGCATTGTCCCAGAGAATAGGTCCCCAGATGCGGTGAGAACACAGGCCCTGAGCCAGACTTGTGCTCTGGGTGATAGTCAGCCCTCCTTTACAAAGCCAGTGGGGGGGTGCCTGCCCTGCCTACTCGGAGATGGGAGGTGGCATGGCGACCAAGTGACATGACCTGTGGATCAGGGCTCTGCAGCTGGACTTTGACCCAGTTCAGTGGTGGCTGATGAAGCGACTCACTGGAACAGACCCAATGTGTAAAACGTGTACGGAATGATAACTGGAATGGGGAAAGGTACGGGTTGAAGCTTTGTTAGAGACAAAATCTTCCTCTTGGAAACCCAGGACTGGGCGCTCGTTGCATAGCAACCAAATCTCTTGACCATCAGAGTCTGAAGTGACAGTACCGCACCCAAAGATGGTGACAGACCTCTGCTTCGAATGCCTGTGGCTCTTCACACTGCCGGGGACAGTCCCTCCTCCCAGCCAAGGTCCATTCGGCCTCATCCGGGTCTCGTTCCAGGGCTGCAACCTGCAATTTGTCCTGTTCTGTCTCTTCCGATCCCAGTCTGTCCCGAGCTCACTGTATCGGACACGTCTGAGCTGGTTCCAATCGGTCTGGAGCCCGGCTCAGCACGGCTTGTTTGGCTCAACACGTCGGTTCCTGTCTTTTATTTATTTTTCGTGAGATTATTTTCCAATGCTGTTGCTGAACATCGAATGCCCAGGACTGTGCCTGGCGTGTTAGAGTGGAGAGTAAGGAAGCGAGGACAGGCTGTGGCCTCTGGGAGCCGAGTCCAGTCCCATGAAGGCCACTGTAGACCAAGCCAAGGGCTCACGGAGGAGGAGACTTCTCATGGGAATTCCCTCTCCAAGAACCCACACAAACTGGCCCTTGGAGCTCTGCAAACAGAGGCAGAAGTGAGAATCCTCTGCAGGGAGTCCTAGGATAGACGGTGCTCTCCTTTCTCTTTGGAGAGGAGTGCTCCCTTTGGACAATGCGGGTTCAGTCCAAATAGGGGGGCATCCTGGAGGAGCAGGGTTTGAGGATACCGGGCTCTTGTAAGCTCAACTGCATCCCCCATTGCCAGATGGGCCTGTGGCCCATCCATCCCAGCTCTGTCATTTCCTGTGAACAGCCTTCCAAGCAGCCTTCATCCCACGCCTCAGCTCTTCCTCGTCAACTCTAGGCAGGCTCCCTAGCCGGGCTTAAAGGCATGGGCTCTTGGCTGTGCGTTTTCGCTCAGGCCAGATCTTTTATGGAACAAGTCTGGGCTTCTTGCCATAGCAAGACAGAGGTCAGTGATGCTTCTCCGTGGGTCTGGCAAGGCCAGGCATCCAGCTTCCCTCTTGCCCCGGGATGGGCTCCAGCCCTCGAGGAACTCTTAGCAACCTGTCAATATTGTGGCTGCAGTTGGGAGGTGGGAGAATGTGGATCAACGATGGCATCCAAACCAAAATATGCACCCTGCCCGACTCTCATTCCTGGCTTTCTGGGAGTTTTCTGCTTTGGGCTCCATTCAAATTCCTCTTCGAGTCCCCTGGCCTGACACAAGCTACCACTGGCATTATACTGTGGTGAACACATGAGGCGCTCCCTACGGTTCCCTACACCATTATGTTCTGTCCCTACTGCACACTGGTATATCACCAGGAAATGAGGGATACAAGGGTAGGGAAGGTAGGGTGTTAGGATCTCCCAAAGTCCTTGAAAACTGTGAAGCTCTTTAAGTGGGGTTGAAGCCCGATGCCCTTCCGAGTTGGTTTGAGCTAGAATGTGGCTGTTTCTAAACCTGGCCCCACCTCTGCCCTTTCTCGTAGCCACGTCAGCACTGAGGCTTATTTCCTGCTGTGCATCCTCACTCTGCTTTCCTGCCCTCCCCAGCCCTGGCCCCGAGGAGGCTGCCAGATTGGGTATGTGGAGTCCACATCAGCCCTGGCATCCGTGGGCCTTTGCAGTGGAGCCAGCCTTGGCTAGGCCGACCAGCTCCCCTCTCTCAGTCCTCTAGCACAGGCAGGGGCCGCCCATTTGGAGAGTCCCACACCTGAGCAGCCAACACTGCTATTGAGAGCGCCCTGCACGCTGGGTGTTCAAGACTCCTCAGGACAGAACTGAACGCTCTCAGTTCTTGAAGATGTCAGGCTGCTAACAAAACCAGTGCCCTTGTCGTCACCTGTTAGTCCTTGCTGCTGTTAGGAGTGGGTTTGTGTCCGACAGAGGGTCATTCTCTAGGGCTGCCCG